CAAACGAAGACCTGGCATGAGGGTATGAAAATCCTAACCAGGAGACTAGGTCACATAGGCCCCGTTGGACTCCCTGGCTTAGGACCTCGGGATGATGGTCACCGATCGTTAGAGACAATGCGTAATATGGCTGACTATCGCAAATAGTGGCGCTCGTAAATTCACTCATTATTCCCCGAACAACATTCCATATGAATTCTCCATCTTCCACTTGAATTTGCTTTCAACATTCCAATCTTTCTGCTCTTTTAGCCAAATGAGCTGTCAACAGACAGCAACCAAAACCGGCGTACGAAAGTGCATGATTAACGCTTGTAAAAACTGAAACTGAAACTTATTACAAATGGTAGCTAACCTTGCCCTTACGTGTATCGATCTTTCTTTGGCTTTCTGCTAACCCTTAGATTGATCAATGAAAGAGTAAATCCAACACAAAACTGAGAGTGGTGCCCAGGTGAAAATATCAATGCTGCTAATAATGGATGTTGATACACATCATTAAGTTCATTTATCTATGTTCTAAAATGAAAAAAACATAAAACACCAATAGATATTTACATATTGTTAATCGGTGATTATTTCTAATGGATATTTTCTCCTAAAGAAAACTAACTCACTAAAGTCCTCAAGTAGGAAGGACAGTGTGAAATCTCTATTAGCCCCATCACGTTATGCTAAACCGGGCTGGCTAAATGTTGACACCAGTCCAGCGCTCCTGCATAACTCTGTCGAGTTTCACTGTAAGTAAGCTCTCATTCGACTCTTCCGCCACGTCCTCCGGTAATGCGTTCCATAGGTTTTTCAGGCGATGTGCCAGAGGTAGACCGTTCAACTGCATCTGGCGGGGCGTCAGTGCATGTCCCCTGATGCCGTCTAGTCAATAGTCGTAGTAGTTCGTTAGAAAAGGCCGGAAGCAGAAACCTCCCTTTCAGGAAACCCTCACCAAAGAAGTATACGCCGTGTGATTCCCAGAGCCCTGAGTTTGACAAGCAGTTTGTTTTGAGGTACTTTTTCAAACGCCTTACTGCAATCAACGAAAATGGCGTCCCTGATGTATCCCTCGTCTTTGCCTCTAGACCAACATTCAGGGGCTATCATCAAATTGGTCCTACAGGACCGCTTATTGCGGAGGCCGAGTTGCTCTTTGCACATCAAATGATGTCACTTGAGGAACTCCGTTGGACACAAAACCGTTAGTCATTTCATTGAGTCTCAGAAAATCAAAATGAGACTTAGTGGGCGGTAGTTAACTGCGGCAGCTTTCGTCCCGCTCCTGTAAAGCGGAACAATAGCCGCTTCCTGCCACTCTCGGGGCAGTCTGTCTAAGTACACTGATAGGTTGAATATCTTTTCAGCAATGGGGTGAGCTGCACCACCGATTCCTTGGGCACTAAAGGATGGACATCATTCTGGCCTGGTAACTGACACGTATTGATGAATTAAAGCACCTTCGTCGCCTGTAATTCTGAAGTGTTCTACGGTGAATATTGACGTATTTCGGGTGGTAACGACATCGTCAGTCGTATACACCGAGCGATACTGTTTTGTCAGTGCTTCCGCTTTGTTCTAATGAGTGTCAACCTTTTCGACTGCGTCGATCAACGTTTGGATACTAGCTCTAGCCCTCGTGCGCCGCTTCGGTCCGAGGTTCGAGCCCCGCCACCCAACTTTGGTGGGAAGCAGTTTTGCTAATTCATGGTGCGACAATCTTCATAACAATGCAACGGGTCTATAATTTGCACGTGGGTCGGGATACTGCCAGGTTGTCCAGTTTAAAGCAAGTGTATCTTCTTGGAAGGATTCACGGTCGGAGCCGTTAAATAACCAAAACCCGCAAGACAAGAGGCGGTATGTGAGAACTTCACTCCATTGAAGACCAGTGCTTTGTTCAGCGAATCATAAACCATTTGGACGGAGTTAAACGTCTTAAGTACTCAATACACCTTGATACTCAGTTTAACCGGTGACCACTGCCATAAACAAGAAAGTGTGGGTGTAATTGATACGCCTCTTTTATTGATCCGGAGTCAGGGTTGGCAGCCCACTCTCCCAGGTAAACTGTCGCTGATTTACCGACTCAGCTATAGTTCCAGATGTTGGCTTTTCTCCTCACTTTGGTGGGGAAACCTTCGCTTCATGAATGAAGTGAGTTGAGCTTCCGCAACAGGGATTATTTGAGATGCTTGATCCTATAGGAGCATTTCTTGAGCTGCAACAGAAGTTGAGCCAGTCAATCCAAGAGATGCACCCCAACCATTCTTGCACTTTCAGGCCATCCAAAGTGATAATCTGTTGCTACACCTACACTTGCCCCAGGAACAACTAATCAAAAAAGCAAAACCATTTACTTCTCTAGCCTAAGGGACCAATACTAAGAGCGCTGTACTGAAAATAAGATTTGCGTCCTTTCTACACACATTTGAGAGAAACTACATTTAATGTCATTACTGAATTGGTCTTTATGTAAAATAAGATTTGTCTTAAGTAATCACAAAATGATAACCATAAGTTGCTCAAATTTGTCATGGTGGAAAGGGAAAACTCAACAGGCAGGGTAGGAGCACAATATTGAAACTGAGGTTTCATGACTTAATTAATCGGTTACGAGAAAAGTACAAAATTTGCACTCCCCACGACATTGGTTACAATTTACAGAAGGGGGCTTGATGGGCTTTGTTACTTTCAATACACACAGAAGGGCTAAAAAAGAATAAAGATGACTGCTGTTCGGAGAGAGGACGGGTTGGGAGTGTAGAAAACCATTCCATTCATAGTCATTGATTTTTACCAGTTTGTGTCAGTAAGTCTGTTTCCGACTAACGTCTGTGACAAACGATTAACTCGTTTCATTTTAGGACTATTTACCGTAACAAGTTTTTTGAATCTCGAAGTTAATACTCTTAATGCGTTTGAAGATATGAAAAATAAGTTGATGGCATGCACTGTACGTAAATCGGATATTTCTCTGATGCCCATAAGGCCAGTATTTTAAACATGTAGTGAAATTATTGCTTACTTCCTTACTTTACTTTACTGCGGCTGGCTCGTTGGAAAGGATAAGCCAGTTCCAGACGATCTCGATGAAGATCCTGGAGTTCCTTGGGAGTTTGGTACTAGAGACGTCCCCAGCGTTTTTTTATTTTGAGGGCGCACCTCTAATCTTTGCACAACCAAGTGCGAACTGCAAGGCAGCAGGAAGTAATCCCTCACCTCGGAAGTGAGGGGATCAATGACTTTAGTTTTAAAAGGCCAGTCACATCGGCCTTTGTCACGACACCGTCATTGGGCATATGCGGCTTTTAAGCAGGAGCCAGGTAACCAGCCTGAAGCCCACCACATCCTGGTAGTGCCACCGCTGTTTGTTCGTGACTGCTTATTTTTTGCGGTATGCCACAACTTATTCACAGCTAGCCTTCTTCGGTGAAGGTATCCCACTATCCACAACCCGGGGACGCGCCTGGTAGCATTCAGCTCTGCTTAACCCGAGGGTATCCAGCTTATTGCTGTGTTAGTTTGAGTTCGATTCACCAACGGTTAAGCTCGGTTACGACTGAGTGTAGGCTTTTAATCATTAAAAAAATAAATCAACTCAAAGGACAGAAGAAAACTTGCTCCTACATCTGGATTGTATTTGACTACAGGAATGTTTAATTTTGGCAGTGGAGAGGTCTATTCAGATCACTGTGGGAAAAAATATACTCTGTTATGAGTACTAGCATCATATATTATTTAAGAGTTGGTTTCATAATCTAACAGATCCATCTGTGATGGTACTTTAGTAAACTTGTGAGGCTACCTAACGCTTAAGAAAAACGCATGCGTGGCATTTTTCTCTCTGTCAAATCATAATACAGATATCCTAGTATCAAACAAATCAGTTCATGATGTAACGAAGGTTTCTCCCATTCCCATGAGAGGACGAAAAGCCAACATCATGGGTTATAACAGGATAGGGAAACCATTGACAGTTCTCCTAGGAGGGTTGGCGCGGAAGGCCAATTTTAAATGCATTTAGAAGGGGCCTCCAAACCACAACTACACCTTGGTTATGACATTAGTCAATAGTATGATTTGGGATCGAGGTGTATTGGGTGTCTTTGACCCCGTCCACAGGGTTATAATCCAGTGAACTAGACACCGGCTCCTAATGGCTTGCAGACGACTAGTTCCGTCATGCTGGCTTGCAGTTATGATTTTAGTCAAGGGCTTTGTATGGAGATCTAAAACGAATCATAGACGGTTCAGAAGTGACATGGCCTGGGAACGTTTTGTTGTGGCTTCTTGTCAATTGCGTGTAGTACGTTGTGGAACAAAATTGGATAAGCAGCCGAAAAGGAAAATATAGAGGTTGAAAAGTTCAGTCAAATCGTTTGTGAAACAATACAAGCGATTGGTCTCCGAGGACCGTCAGTGGTGGGCAGCTTTGCTATCATCCGATTCAATACCACGCCTAACCTATCGGGGCCTTATGTGGTTCACCACTCCAAGTCCCGCTGCTTAGGTTGCCGGTTTCCACCACTGAATAGCAGGTCCGCGTGACTATGGGGTTCGTCCCATCTGCTGTTCGTCACATTTGGGTGTGTAATAAAGTGCCCAAGTATTGATTTTTCTCATAGGTCAACATATCTCACAGAGTATTCGGGTTACCATTGCTGTGGTTAGACGTTATATACTGAGCGGAACCAATGTAACTACTCGTACTCATGAAATCTCAACACAGTCCTCGTTGTAAAACTGATTGCCAAAACAATATTTTGGTTTGCTTATTGCACCACGTCTGTGTCATTTAGAAGCAGTCAGGTGCATTCCTGTGAATTGAATTTCTTAACAGGAACTATCAACTTGAACTGTCGAATTTCATTGAATTATCGTGTTGCGCAGCTAGCTAATGCAAAGCTTGTGTTGCCACGACTGATATTCTCACCTGTTCTTCATATGCATCTGTTTTTAAATGCTTATTCGTTGCAGATGAGGTGTATATGCTTTGCTTCTCCTTAATCATGCTATCCACGGACTTGTGGAGTCCGCATGTGAAGAACAAAATGTCCAAGCGAGAATTCATCCGAAATACACGGCACGTCACTCGTACGGTGCGGGACGATTTCCTGGGACATTTGTATGACAACGTGTACATGGTCGGTCATGTTGTACTCAGCGATTTGCCTGGACCGCCTACTCGTCATCCGGCAATCAGAACCATTTTGGTTTGATTACTCTGCAATACTGCGATCTGTATATTCCCCATCCCACCCCTGTTGCGCCCTCCTTGCGTCCGCGCCACCGCACTCGAGCCTTTCCGGTCCCATCTTGCCTTTAATGTTATCATCTTGATTGTCGTTCATTTTGTGTTATTTTGTGCGTCATTCATTCTTCTTTCTGGCATGCTCGTTCTCCGTTTGATTCGGCCTACTGACCCATAGTCATCCTTATCACACTCATTTTTCTTCTCAGAGCTATTCCGTCCCGGTTTTCCTATCGTTATCTTATTTGATAATCATTGGTTGCGACTACATCAGTCTGCACCGAATATCTATCTGCGCTGTGCTGTATCAAATGTATTTCCACCTGATAGGTGTGCCAGTTTTGATCCAATGAACCTGTTGGGTTTTTTATTTTTGTTGTGGATATCAATGTCAATTCACAATGATATATCACATTCCGTAGAGAATAATGCGTAGAATATATTATGGGATAACGTTACCGCACTCCAATGGGGACGACAAAAGGGGGTGAAAGCCGGCCATAAACTTTAATCCGACCTGAGGTTTGAGAATACAACTCTTTGAGGACGGATACATAATTCCTTTTATCGTACTTCTCCACGTCTAATCAAGTAATTCATAAAGATGGAGTCGAAGACTGCGCGAATGTATAAGAACCTAATGCCCTTTGGTTTATGGTAAGTGTGGAGGTGCTTTAAAAACTATCTTAGGGCGGAGGTTTGATCAATGCATCCATGACCGGTGCGAAAACCAGACTGCTCGCTGATCTGTTCTTCACGCATAATGTACAGGCGGTGGATACCGAAAAACCCCAACAGCTTGACGGTATTGGGATCAGGCTTCTGATTGGCGCAGTCACTGTGCAGACCATTTTTGAAGGAGGGGATGACAACCGATCAGTGAAATTCACTTCACTGTATTACGCTGTATGATGATGATGATGATGATCGATTCCCTTACCAAAAGGAAACCTTCTCGGTATTGAAAACTTTAAAGGACACTACTAGCATTTCTGCAACTGACTTCGTTCCAGCATCTTTAAATCAGTTCAGTTCTTACAACCATCAACCATACACTTTCGTGCGCCGGTTTTGGTTGCTGTCTTTTGGTTGCCCATTTGGATAAAATAGCAGAATGATGATTAGAATGTTGAGAGCAGATTCAAGCGAAGGATAGCACATTTTCATAGACTGAAGTTACAAGAATAATGAGTGGATGCACGAGCGCCACTGTTTGCGACAGCCAATGCATATTGTAGCGAGAAGGCGAGCTGGCTGAGAAAAACGTCTATTGATCCAATTCAAAAACGGTGTATGCGTTCGATTATATACAATCAATTCTCAACCGCGCGGCGGGATGATTCATGCCTCTTTCTGTGGGTCATTCTTTGTTGGTTTTGGTCCGCACTTGGCACGTACGTTGCCTCTTCTTCCGCGTGCCATTCCGACTGGTTTGGCCCGATTGCGGCGCTAGATGCGTTGATCGACAGCTCCGACGTTGGGGCATTCGGTGGATACCTTTCCCGTTAGCTGCGGGTTGTCTGTCGGGCTGTAATTGTCGATTCGCTCGTTTCGGGTGGCAGTAAACATTGTCTCGCGAGGCACTTCCCGCCACTGCGTCTGTGCGTCAGGTCGGATGAGCCCCATTTTTGATTCGGTCGCTGGTCACGACTCTCTTTGTACCATGACACCCAGCGTCTCTAACGATCGGTGACCATCATCCCGAGGTCCTAAGCCAGGGAGTCCAACGGGGCCTATGTGACCTAGTCTCCTGGTTAGGATTTTCANGGCGCTAGATGCGTTGATCGACAGCTCCGACGTTGGGGCATTCGGTGGATACCTTTCCCGTTAGCTGCGGGTTGTCTGTCGGGCTGTAATTGTCGATTCGCTCGTTT